GTCAAGCCGCAGTCGGCCAACAATTGTTTCCAACCAAGCACTAAGCGCGATATAGGCTCAGAATCGGGAACGGGTGGGTGAATTTTGGCGTTTTGAACGCGTTTTCTTCTCCCCCACACACTTTTCTTCTTTCTCATGGCAATCCCATTTGGCGGGTTCGGTAACGAGGACGATGACGATGATGATGATTTGGTGGTTTTGCGTGTTGCAGTTGCGTTTGGGCCCATGACATACAACAGCGATCCGCTTTTGATCACTTCTTGTCCGGCAGTCAAGGTGTGAGGCCGGGGCACGCTCGGGCTTCCCTCCTTGTTGAGCGCGAGCCTGCCTTGCGGCTGTTCAGGCCCTTTCGCGGGTTGATGTCGAGGTCGACGTTGCAAGTCTCCCAGCCGGAATAAACGCTTCCGCATGTTGTTCGGACGGGCGTCGGCATGATCGGCCGGCCTGTTTCGTCTTTCGGTCATGGCGTGGTTCGTGCTGTTTCGGGTTTCGCCCCCCAACGCTCGTTTCGACCCGCCACCTCCGCGCGAGATTTGGCGCATGTTGTCCTTTCTCTCGCTGGGCTCCACACTCGTCTCCGCCTTTTGATCGACCCTCTGTTCAAAAAAACCCGCGGGGCCTTGCACACCAGTCAAGTGTTCCGGCAACCGGACGGCCGCGGGCCGACTCCCTCGACGACGTTGACCCGACCGACTTGGACCGAGGACCCAGGAGCACTGGCTGGCCTGCTTCGCGCGCTCTCCTTCTCGGCCATTCGACATTGTTCGCGGCGCGATCTCGACATCGTTGACACCAGCTCTCGTGCGGACTGCTGAACATCACGACCACCCGCCCGAGTGCGCCGTGTGGCCGACATTCGCCCCTGCCCGCGACTGCAGCGACCACCACGACCACCACGACCAACCACGACCATCACCGACCGGCACGGCCCACTGCAGACCGCGACCACTGCGACCACTCTCGCCCCAACTGTGTGTGACCATGACCCGCGCAAGTAAATGGGTCACGTCGACGGGTCTGACCGTCTCCGACATTGCCCTCCTCAACGAATACGCGGCGCCCGAAGCCATGGCAGCCATGGCCGCGAGCCTGGCCCTGTCCACCTTGATGCTCCTGCTCGCCATTACGCGGGCTCATCAAGCACCGCACGGCATTCCACGCGGGCGTCGTTTTGGGCTGCTTGGCCTTTTCCATCAACGACGTGTGGTTCTTTGTGGTCATGGCCGTGCAGGAATTACCGGTCCGTCATACGTCGCACAGTTCCGTCGCACACCAATGGCCCCACGCGACCCCAGTATTCATTACCCTTCCGGGTCCGACTCTGAACCATGTAGAACTCGTTTGAACTCGTGCGCACCTTATCCCCGGCCCTCGCCGCCGCGCAAATCGCGGGCCTGTCGATTTCGCGATTCCGCGTCTTTGCGGCCACCGCGCACGCGCGGTGGTACTCGCCACGCGTGCGACACACGCTGCTGGCCATTAACTATGCCGCGGCGGCAGCCGCGCTCGCGGTTCTCGCCTGGTCGTTTGTCGGGATCGACATGCACGCGCCGATCGTGACAGACCCGGCACGGAAAGTCGCCATTTTGGCGGTGGCCGGGATGTCGGTCGTGATTGATGGCGTGCTGACGGTGGTGAGTCTCAGGATTGTGTTGCGGATCCGAGCGGAACTGGATGCGTCGATGGGGGAGGGCGTGGGGAAGGTGGAGAGTAGTGGGCGGTGGCGTAGGAGGAGGGCGAGGCGCGGGTTGGTGAGAAAGATTTTGGTCGCGTTGTCGGCGATGTTGGTGTTTAGTGTGGGCGGGATGGCCGTGTATGGGGTGTCGAAAACGGTCGTCGGTGCGTGGTTCTCGCTGTGTGTGTGTGGAGGGCAATGGTAGGTGGGTGGTACTGACGCGCGATTGCGACCGATTTGTAGGGCACATGGTTGCGGATATTTTCCCGCGATTGTACTGCTTGGCGGCGATGGTCGAGTGGTACTTGGTCGTGGATCTTGTGCGTGTTACGTCGAGTCGTGTCGT